ATAGAGACATACAAGATGATCAGAGGATTAGATAGGGTGGACAGTGGGAACCTTTTTCCTCGGATGATGACGGCTAGCACGAGGGGACATAGCTTTAAATTGAGGGGTGATAGATATAGGACAGATGTCAGAGGTAGGTTCTTTACTCAGAGAGTAGTAAGGGCGTGGAATGCCCTGCCTGCAAAAATAGTAGACTCGCCCACTTTAAGGGCATTTAAATGGTCATTGGATAAACATATGGATGATAATGGAATAGTTTAGGTTAGATGGGCTTCAGATTGGTTTCACAGGTCGGTGCAACATCGAGGGCCGAAGGGCCTGTACTGCGCTGTAATGTTCTATGTTCTATGTTCTAAGTGTTATTAGGGCATAATTCAGAACCCAAATTTGAATCGTTACCACAATGGTAACAACATAGATCCTGAGTAGTTGTGAATGCAGGAACGTAAGTATTCACTGATGCAAACCAAAGCAAAGTGACATGACTGGACTAAAGTTTAACAGAAAACTAACAGCTGAGACTGCTATAAATTGGAGGGCACTACTCTCACCCGAGTCCGGTTCTGCTTGCACTTGATTCGCACCGCCAGGATCATGACAACTACTGAGAAAGCCACAATCAGGGTCATGAGGATCCCCACATCGTAGGCGGGCTGAAGAGGAGAGAAAGAGAGATTACTGATTGAAACGTAGAGGTTATTCTATCATTTGGCATAACACTGGCTCAGTTAAAACATGACAAGCATAAGAGGCCTAATTAAGTGAACAAAATCTTAAAAATGGCATTAAGCATCTTGAGTTCAGTTTGAAAAATAAAGCTCTAAGGAAGTAATGAGGGTGGGGAGAAAAGGTATAAACACTCAGTTCTGAGTATTACAGTTCTGAGTATTCTGAACATTACCTGGTGTGCAAGACTAAGTGCTGAAGAAATTTTCACAGGAATCACAACCCTTGTAATTTTCTCTTATGGGACAACAGATCACCTTTTTAGTAGATGGGTGGATGACAAATATCAGAGGAATAATTCAGAAAACCATGACAGCAAATCATCATTACATTACTGGAGTAGGCATGCAGTCAGGGAACCATTTCCAAGAACACTTTGCAGACTGAATGTGTCACAGGATTATCAAAGATAATTACCAGCAGTTACTAGCTGTCTGTTACTCACTCCCCATCACCTACACATTTGCAACTTGACAGAATTGCTGTGTAAGAGAAATTAAACAAATGTGTAGTATATAGCTGAGGCTTGCAAGTCTCATCTCGTACAATGGAAGGTAGCAACAGTTAGCAACCCAATATTGAACTGCCTGAAGGCTGATCACAGGAAAGGAAAAGGATACAATTCATACTTGTAGCAGTTAAAGCCTATTTTTCTCTACATGGTTATTGGAATGTGACCCTCAACTCAGTTATCTATGATATAGTCTTCAATGGTCAGAATTTGTATGTACTTCTGTGTTCCAGCCTTCAGTTCCCTCCCATGCCCCATTTAACACATGCAGTTCAAAGCACTCAATAATCAGAAGAATACTGTTGTTGCTTTTCAGAAGGAAAAGAAGGTTCACATATGTGATTCTGGATATTGGCAATTTAAGATACAAGGAAAGGTTATAGATATTGGATTTGTTTTCTTTTGGAAAAGGAATTTTCAGCTGACCTAAACAAAGTTTTTCAAATAAAGGGAATTAGCAAAATTGCTCCAGTTACATTGCTCACTGCGCTGAATGGTTTACATTCTAGGTTAAAAATATTTCTACAAGGTTTCACAAGTGGTGAAGAGGAAGGGAGCAATCATGATAGAGGATTTAGGAGAAGTGAATGAAGACAATCTTTTGGGCAGGAGGGAAAGAGACGGCAAATGGGCCAAGTTTTTAAGGGATAGAGCTTCAGAGTGCTGGTGGAAGAATGCTGAAGGTACTTAATGACCCAAAGTATAATGGGGGAAACAAGGTGTGAGGGAAAGGGCATTAAGGCAGGTGGTATAAAATGGTTATAGAGACAATTAAATGTATTTCTGTAGAGGAAAGGTAATCGGTCGGATTGCTCATTGGAAAGTGATAAACTTTGTTTCTAAAAGTCTCTGTGGGGTAATTTATGAAAACATCAATCAGGATTAATCTTTACAGAGACAGGCTGGCGTACCATGGAAAGTTATAGATTTTATTTTTTAAAGAGATCCCACAAATTTCAGATTCCCTGTAAGAAAGTATTTCACGCTGACCCATAGCTCTGGCTTTTAGTGACAGATATTCAACGCTCAGATGTGATCTCCCTTCCACAAAACGAACCCACACAATAGGAGGTTAAAACACACAAAAATACTTCAAAGTTTAACGAATGGTGGATGGGTTAAGGGAATGAGTTGTTAAATCATGTTTTTTCCCCACCTACTTAACATGTAACCTGCGAGTCCATCCAATCCAACCAATATAGCTGGGATCATAATTTGCCTGAATTATCCCAACTTTGGAATATTTTAACCTGATAAAGCTTTGACAACGTGAGAATGGTATTGTAGGCTTGATGGGGGTCAGTATTATTCTACTGAATAAATGAAGGCTTCAGGAAATGCTCTTAGTTGAATGAATAGAGAAGGGTTTTTGTTTATCTTAAAGTGCTCACAGCCTGTAGTCACATTTCCTACCTCAATCTTAGATCTTCTAGATTTAATTAGAATGTTTTAGACTTTCTATTGAAAAACATATACAATGGGGAATTACTTTGAGACTGTCTTAAAGACAGACCCCAGGAAACATCCATCCACACATTAGTTATGGGATAATTAGCTTGATGAAGCCACATCTGTCTCAGATGCTTTAGAACCAAGTATTTCACAAAAGGTTTATATACAGTTTATGTAGATAGCCTCACATCCTCCTGCTCACTTGGTGGCCCAATTTTAAGACCTCTGTGAAAATAGTTGGAAATTAATTCTGAATAAGTTACTTAAAAATGCTTTGCAGGTGATACTGTAGGTAACCATTAATGAAGCAGCAAGTATAGGCAGCTCGGTACTTGAATATTATGAACCTACTGCTAATTAGACAATGTGCCAAAAATGATGAAACAGCAGGAAGGCTGAGTGGGTCCCCAGGCTGAATGTGGTTCTGTGCTGGTGTCGGGTTGCATACACAGGACTTGGGATCTTACACAAATTCATAGTTAATGAGAATACATCCCCTTGACCTTCAAGTCTTTAGCTGAGCTTGAGGTACGTATTTCTGACATAACACTTACCCGACCCAGTCTGTCACTCTTGACATGAATCCTGACCACTGCTTCGCCATTGGTGTTGATGACCTTCATCAGCTGGGTAGCATCCCGGCCTTGGATCAGGATAACTGGACGAGGCAAAAGATCCTCTTGATTCTGTTTCAGCTACCAAGAGGAGGAGGAAAAGCCATGTAAAGGAGTGTCTTATTGGAGGATTGATTAATTATCTTGTATTCAGCAATACACATAGGTATTTCACTTGTAATTTGAATTTTACCAACACAGAATTAATAGAGACTGTCTACAACTTGATGCTTTACATTCCTTGGACATCACCACCCCAATGGCAAGGATACAAAAGAAATGCAGTGTTTACAAATGCAAAAGGGCTTCAACACTCAGGGCTACATGATATAAAAACACAGATGGATTACAAATTGGCATAGACTCATTTTCACAGTAAGAGAGGCAGAATTTACCTACATTTCTTAAAGAAAAAGACAGGACAATAAGGCTACAAGGATTCCATTAACACTGAACATTATGGGTAAACTCTGCATGTCCCCATGAAACTGAACACACAACTCGTGGAGACAGCAAGAGAGAGAATCTGAATCCCACAGCTGAATACAATACTGATTACAGCTTGTCCAGACTGTACACTCAACCACACTGCTCATTAAGTGACCAATTATTTCCCTTACTACCAGTATTACATATTAACTTTTCAATTGTAGGATTAGATGAGAAGTCTTCTTCTCAAACAGCTCCAGCATTTATGAAACTTGCATCAGCATTGAAATATGCTTCCTTATTTCTCTGAAGAGTCTATGATGCTCTTTAACAGGTGGCGTAGTGAGACCTTTTTATTGAAGAGATGCATGTCCCTGATCTGCATGATCAACTTCAGACTTAATATGAAAATTGCCTGATGTAGGAACATCAGCCATAATTTCTTGATCCATTATGTTACAATCAGTTGGTTCACTGTTGGAACTTGAATATCCCATATGCTGCTTAGAATCTTTTGATTTCCCCTCACTATCAACTTTTAGCTTTCCTTTTACATTCTAACACATTTAAAACATCCACAACCAATTTATACAAGGTTCTCAGTCATCTTTTATGATCACCTTAATCAACTACTATGGTGTCATTCTTCACATTTTCTGTTTTCTCTCCTGTCACAAAGTTTTAACAGGTTTCCATTATTCCCCACTGTTAATATTCATTGCATTGTCCATGGTATACTCTTGATCTTAGCTTCAAAGCTCACTTTAATAAGCCCAGTGGTGAGTCCCTCCATTTCCATGGTATCCCTAGTTTCCTTGTGGTAGCTTTACAATCCAAAGCTATTATTGGGTTTCACTTGATTATTCTGTGCTATCATTAATTTAAAAAAAAACGTCCAAGCAACTTGTTCATTTTTGTAAAGGCTTCAGTTTTCAGAAAAACAGGGATTGACCCCACTTTTTGATAATTACAGAAACAGTAACCAAATTATTAACATTTATAGAATGTCAATGTCAAGGTTTTAGCTCTTCAAATCTCCTCACTGTGCTCTCTAATTAACTACATTACTATAGAAGGACATTGAGCAAATGATTTCAGTGGGGTTAAGACAATTTGATAAGTTTCTTCAGAAAGATAGGTCTGGTTGAACTCAGAAAGCAGGACAAATAATTTCAGCCAAATGGTCTTTTCCTTTAAAAAATGGATTTTTGTGTTGCTTTCCCATCTGTTAATACTTGATTGCTCAGTGTAACAAAAGTCCTAAAGTCAGATTGATTTCAGTTTCTCATATGAAAGTCATATGCCAAGTGAAGCTTAGAATAGTTCTCTCCACATGTACCACCCATTCACTGATTTAACTATAGTAGTTAGCATTTGGGCTCTCAGCTCAAATGAATAAGCCAGTTCTTCCATAATATACAAGTATTTATCCACTTTGGACATTATTTTTATAAAATTTGAATTATGTATGAATTATGCCTCTTAGCTTTAGATTCTTGGCACAACACAAACTTGTAATTAGTATCAATATCTAATCTACAAATCTAATCCTGTTTATCTCACATGTCTGGTTATATAAATGCGACACTCTTTGAACTAGTTACATTTTCCTGTTCAGTCCAACCACCCCTCATGATGCTAAAGTAACAGATTGGAGAAAGCTGCATTTTACTTACACATGTCCACATATCAATGTTCAAAGAGCTGATCTTTGCCATTATTCCTTCATGCCATTGCATAATTTGCCACTTTCTTACAATTACCCTCTTCAAAACAGAATCCACCCTTGAACTGATGAGTGTGTCTTAGTGCTCAGTGTTCGGTGTTCAAGTTGTGAACAGTTATACAGTTCAGTGTGTGCTTAAACTAAGGGACGCAAAAGTGCAATATTTGATGTTTTTGGATTTTTACTTCTGTAGTAGACATGCTCAGTCACAGCCTTCTTGTGTCTATGGAGGTTGAAAGGTTGATCTGCATTCTGGGCAGAGGCCATAATCTAGGGTGATACTTCAGTGGTATTTATACTAAGTGCTGTTTTGTCATAAGTATGGTCCTTCTAATCAGATATTAAACAGAGGCTTTTTTTTTCAGTTTTTGGTTTATGGGATGTGGACAGTGCTGGCTTGGGCATCAGTTCTTTCCTATCCCTAACCGCCCTTGAGCAGGTGGTGAGCCACTTTATTGAACCTCTGCAGTTCATCTGAAGGCATCCCCACGCAGCTACTAGGTAGAAAGTTCTGAACTTTGACCCAACTACAATGAAGGAACCACAAAATATTTCCAATGGTGGATCACGTGTGGCTTAGATTGGAATTTGCAAGTGGTGATGTCCCCATGTGTCTGCTGCCCTTGTCCTTTGAAATTGGTACAAGTTGTAGATTTGGGAGGTGCCACTGAAAGTAAAATCTTGGTGGATTTTGCAGCATATTTTCAAAATAGTACACACTGTAGCCAAGATGCACTGGTGGTGATACCAGTGAGTGTTTGATGTGATGGACAGGATGCCAATCAAAAGGGGTTAAATTCATCCTGGATGGTGTTGCTATTGTTATTTATATGCCTCCATAGATAGGGAGGCTCCATGATAAACTGAGGCCCTGTCTTCCCTGTTCTGGAGGTTCAGAACAATGTTATAGTGTCTGTGCCAAATTCTGGAGAATAACAGGATGTGTTTCCCCTGAATTAACTAACATTCTTCATTTGTTGCACCCATGACTGGTTTTGGGACCTTGTTAAAACTGGTTGTGGATGTCCATCTCCAAAGAAGTCATTAAATGCTCAACTGGAAGTAAATATGGTTTCAATAAACGTTCCCAAAGAATTCGAGATATCGTCTGTTCAGTGATGGGAACTCCTCAGTAACGAATTGGATGACTAGGATCTATGTTTGGAAAGGTGTGCACTTACATTACTGTTCTGGTGAGAGGTGACAATCAGATGCTTTTGTTGAGTTATGGAAAAATGGACTTTAACAAAAGATCATATTTTCCCCAAATTATTCCCAGGTTGTGCAGCCTGTAGGTTGCCAACTGTACAATGAATCTAATAAGTCTGAAAGTCTTATACTGATCCTGTCAGTTTCTCTCATTCCCTCATGTATTGTGCCTTAAAATGGTAAAATTTCTCAGCATTTCTTCAACTTTCTGAGTTTCCCTAAGATAGATCCACAATGTACATCCTAAGGAGTGGGATACTCTAAACAATGGAACTCAATTTCGTTCCAATGGTTAATGACAGTGGCAGTGAATACTTATCTTACCTGACCCACAGCACTTGCATCATCTGTTACATCAAAAATCACTGCTGTGGCACCTCTCTGAATAGCAAACTTGGCCTAAAGGAGACAAAGACAAAAGTGGTGAAAATATATATAACACATCCTACTCCACAAAATTGTCAAACCAGAAGCTTCCTTATTTGTGACTGTTAAATAAAGTTAAGAGGCTCCAGATGGCTATCTAGATAAAGATAATAAAGATGGACAATAACTGGAAATATCACTGACCATCTCTGCTATACATTCTTCAGAAGTGAAAAAGTAGGATACAACACCTTTGTATGAGAGAGTTAGCAGCACAATAATGACGGTACAAACATCGGATCAGATGCCATATAAACAAGAGATACAGCACCATGTGGGGAAAACAGCAATTGAGTGTGACGGTGGGTTTCTGAGTAATTAGGTCACTAAAGACATTGTAGTTATTGTCTGTGGTTTGTACTCGAGGTTTCTTAAAAAATAACAATTGTTGCACATTCCCACACAAATCTTTTGTCCCAGTTTTGAATTTTATAAGGTTCACATGTTTCAGAGAATTATTTAATCCCCGGATTCCCCATCAACTCTTTAATCTGTAAATGCCCAAGGCATCAAATATTTCTAAAGTTCAAATGTACACTGAATGCGTAAACCATTTTGAGACATCCAGGCAACTGAAAACTGACAATTCAGCAGGGGGCGCTGATTATCCATCTAAATCATATGCAGCACCTCCAGATACTTTACAATTCAGCAATGCTTAGGCACAAACAGAATTCTACCTTTAACAGATACTGTCACACACAGGGCTCCACAATTCAACAATGAGACATGGTCAGGCACACAGCACTCCACAGTTCAACATTGGTGGAAACATAACTACTTCCCTTGATCCATGTGCAGTTACCCAAGAATGAACTGCGTATGATTTTTAGTTACATCTTTCAACGTATTCATAGCAAAGCAACCTTTTCTTTGCTGAGGCACAACATATTGAGGGCAAAAATTCAGAAGATCCTGAACTCTCCAAAGTGATAACTTCCGCTCAAATCTTCACAGAACAGCTGAATAACAAGCTAAAAAGCTGACTCTTGGCATCCTTTTAAGTGTGAGGGTTTTAAACTGTCACAAGTGTAAGCTGATGCTTACTGTTGTTCAATCTAGAAATGCAAAAACATGACTGATAAATATTTCTTAGCCAACTGTACAATGAATCTAATAAGTCTGAAAGTCTTATACTGAGCCTGTCAGTTTCTCTCATTCCCTCATGTATTGTGCCTTAAAATGGTAAAATTTCTCAGCATTTCTTCAACTTTCTGAGTTTCCCTAAGATAGATCCACAATGTACATCCTAAGGAAAGGGATACTCTAAACAATGGAACTCAATTTCGTTCCAATGGCGCATGTACATTTTACAGTCTACACACTGCATGCCCAGCAGGATCGAACTTTACCAGGGGCTGGAATGGTCCTAGCAAATCCATTTACAATGGACGAATTTCAGTAAGCACATTTGATATGTGTTTTCCTACTTCAAAACACCTGAAGTGCTGGGATTCCATCCCCTGGACATACAAGACTTTCCATCTCAAAATACAATTTAACAATCACCAAATAAAATATTCCTCAGTGGTAATCAGATCTCAGAATGCCATATATTGCCTTATGATTGCAATCTAATAACTTAATATTAACTTTGGTGCCTGTGAATGCAATGTTTGTACATAATAGTTAGCTATAATAAATGTCTGCTGGATTCTTCCATACCACAATATCCTTGACCAGTGTCTTATGTTACAGGAGATAACATAAGCATTTCTACATCAGTTACAAATACCCTGCTGGAAGCAAGCTCACATCATGCTATTCATAGTGGTCATTGTCAAAGAGTTCCAATATCGTCATGGCAGATATTTGGAAAACTAATTATGAACCAAATGAACAGAGAATTTGGGCAAAGGAACAGTTTTTCACCCATTATTAGCATCCGTTTCTATGTACAAACAACTATACAGATCTGTAGATAATAGTACAACACAAAATTTTAAGTGTTTCCACTCTACATGTTAGCCTTAATTATGGATGTGTATCCAGAGACACCTTTACTGAATTACAAGTAATCAAATATATATGCAGTTCTATTTTACAGATCGAGCAATAGATAATTCCAAGAATAGAACGATGAAAATCCTACTTGCTGTTTGCAAAGAGGGCTTTCAGGGAATTTACACAGATGTTCTTTCCATAGACAATCACAATAATCCAGAAAAGATTGGGAAAGTTCTCAGAGACCACCACAAGATACAAATTAACTTTAGGATTAACAATTCCAGATATTGTCAGACAGACAGCAACCTCAATAATCTATTGACCAGGTTGTCAGAAGTTGTCGCAAGGAAATGTCAATTTTCCGAAATGGAACTATCAGAGACTCATTGAGTTTGTCATTGCCTCTACACTATTTAAAGTCTTGCAGAAGGATCTGCTAGGCAAGGGAAAGGGGCTTAACCATTGGCACATTACTTGAGTATGGACACAAGTATGAAGCCATCATGTCAATACTTATACATTTTAAGTACAGACAACATTATTACTATAGTCAACAAAACACATCAAACCAACAAAATTGTTACAAAATGGGGAACATCAATCTACCCAAAAGCTGATCAGCTTTTCTTGATATCTGTAAAGCATGTAGCACAAAAAGCCATTAGGCACATGTGCAGGAAATCTGGTTTCAAAAGCCAAGCCAAAGCTCAGAACAAAACATAGCTGACTAACAAAATGGTACAACAGCACAACACTGGCAGAACAAAAATTGTTCAGGTACACAAACACATCAAGTTTAGAGTCAACCAAGCAAAAGGCAAATATTAGAAGATATGATCAAGTTTTGCGTGATGTTAACGTCAAACACTGCGTGGACGGTATAAGATGATCAGAGTCTTTACAATCATGAAAATTAAAGTGTCCTGGAAAGGCAGAACAATAAATTCTAACAGCCAAACCCAACACAGGAGCTAGTGCCAACATATTACCAATACACATCTGAAAGACACCTATCTCAGCAAATGACACTCGATAGCATAGCCTGAAAGAGACCATCTTATAGCATATAATGGATCATCCATTTTGTGCATTGCAGAGCCAATACACAAGCTAATCTTGGCCTCCTGAAATTCTCTACCCACTAGATAACAACAGTGCAGCAGTGGTTCAAGACTACCTGTATGCACAGATCTCGATATAGTCACAATTCCTGAAATTCAAATCACAACCAATGTGGCAGAACAGACATGTGGCATGATTGAATTAGTGATCACAAACATCTGTACACAGATGAGTTTGATGTGATTAACAATTTTAAGGGTAACGCAGTACTGCATCTTGAAGATGATGCAACCACATTTACTGATTCTCCAAGGAAGTGCAGCATGCACATTTCAGTGAAGTTTTGAGTGGAACTGAATGAGATGGAGTGAAAAGGTATAATTCAGAATGTCTACCACCATACAGATTGGTGTAGCTCCACTGTGTGTTTTAAACAGTGATGGCAACCTAAGGGTTTGTTTAGATCTAAAGTACCTCAACCATTCATTTAAAAGGCATCCAAACAAACTACCAGCAGTGGAAGAATTAAACAATAAGTTTTCCAGAGCAACATTCTTCTCCAGTCGAGATGCGAAACATGGACATTGGTCTGTCCATTTAATCTTAAATGGTTATAACATATCGGGTGTCATTTGATTGGTAGAGTTTCTGATGGTTAACGCTTGAGTACTCAGTTAGCCAAGACACATTCGAGCGGCATAAGTATAGGATCATTGAGAACATACCTGGTTGTATTTGCAATTCTGATGATATCACAACCGTGGTTAAGACAAAGAAAGCACATGACCACAACTTTCACTTACTGATGCCAGCACTGTGTTAATATGGTTTGACACATAGCAGCACAAACTGCAAGGGCAACATTAGCCAGATAAATATCTTTTGGCCCTTTTATTCCAACCATCAAATCCGTCCTGATCCAGCTAAGATTGAGATGTGAAACAAATGCTTTGTTAGACAAATCTTGCTTACGATAATACTGCAAAAACCAGAGAAGTTACAATTCCTAAAGCAGAAACAGTAAAAAGTCACAGGCGCATGTCTTTTTTGATGCAGAACTTATTCTCTTTGGTTCAACAACCTGTCAACAGATAAGCCAACTATTCCAATATATAGCACGATATATTAATTTGGTATTTGGTATCATGTTGTTGCACACCTACTTATTTGTCAATAAATTTGCCATTAAAACTGATCATAGCAATTCAAAATGAAATGCTACAAACCAATGATGAGTGCGCCCCTTGTCAAGATCCAAGCATATAACTTTGAAGTGAGATACCAGGTACCAGAATGATTAAATATGACATGTGCAAGTTACCCAACTCAGACAAAGACTAAGGTGAACTCTTGAACTACACGTTAATGCAAACTGTGTTCAAAGTTGATGCGTTATACTTTGACCAGTGCCCCAGTGAACTGTTGATGAACACTTACAAGAGCCGCAAAAGATCACTATCTAAGGATGGCATGAAATATTACAGTGGTACCTAACAAGATTTGTTCATTTTGAGCATACAGAGTTCAACTTGCTATATCACACAAGTCATTTTTAAGGATAAACCAGGCATAGTAACTGAAGTATTATTCTAAGATATCATGTCCATGTTATCATGGACACATAGGTATTCAGCGTACAAGATGGCAAGCACATGAATCAGGATATTCAATGACAACACATCTGAGCCATGCCATACCAAACCTATCAACCCCAGCAGCAGAGTTAGCCTCTACATTCACACAATGTTCCAACCATTTGCTGGATGGAAGTGTTAACACATCTATCCACAATCAAGGGGAAAATTACATCTTTGTGACAGACTATTTCTCCAGACTTTCCATCACTCACTGACTTATCAGCACAACAAGCGTAACAACTGTGGACAAAACAGCATTATTTTCAGTTTATTTGGTAGTGTGGATCATATAGAGTCTGACAATGCTTTGCAATACACTAGCAAACT